TCTCCCCCACCATTTGTGATGAACAGGCTGGTTTCCCCATCCTTGTTGATGGCTTGTTGTTGTGATCTCAAATCCTTGGAGACTGAACTGGAACCCAGACTTCTGATGCTACGAATACCACCAGGGGGTGAGACAGGACCAGCTGATACAGTCCTTGGTTTCACTACTGACTTCTCTCTATCCTTCCTCTTCTTTTTGCAGATAACCAGTTCACCTGGATGTGCAAGCCGTGGAGAATCATCTGGCTGACTCAGCTCCCTGCCACTCCCACTTCCACTTCCACTGCCAAGCCTGGATTCTTTCTGGGACATGTGCCCTTTCACCCTTGTTTCTTCACAAGTTCCAGTCGGAACAGATCCCCGTTGCTGGGGCTTATGCAGAGGGCTTGGATCAGGTTCTACATCATTTATTGGCTTATGCCTCTTCCCTTGGCCAAGACCACCCTGTCTCGGAGATGGAGTAGATGTGGATGTCAATACCGGGGGAGCAAAAGACAGAGCAGCTTTGGCTTCTCGGAAATCTGTGTCTGGAAATGGAATCTTCAAAATTTCAAAAAAGAGGTTGTGTACTTTCCTTGCTTCAGATCTAACCTGCAAAATAGAACTATAGTTAGACCTCATAACCCATGAGTCCCAAACTTTAGACAATTTTCCCAATAACACAGTTACGTATATATTGGGAATAAAAATAATTGAAAGCAGAGAGAGCAACACCCAGTTTCCATTGATTTGAAATTCCAGAAGGTACACAAAAAGGAAATGAAAAAAAAAATGAAAAAAGAAATGTGATCCTTGGAGCAAATTTGACAAAAAAGTAGAACTGCAAGATTTACTAAGATTTATTTCTGAAATATTTATTTTCTGGACCAGCTGGATGCTGAGATGATATCTCTGTCAACAGCTAAAACATTCAAATCTCAAAATTTGCAACTGCAACTCAATCCAGGACATATAACTGGCTTCCTGGTGTTATAGTGTTTCCTAAATTGGTTTTACTTCTGATATACGTCCATCCATGTGTTTGATCGTGCACATGCATGAATCAGGCAAATGAATAGACATAATACATTCATGAAAGTCTTAGGGTAATGAAAGGACTATATTCTACAAAAAAGTCTATGCCTTTATTTGGCGATTAGAAAAAGAAAGAGATCCGAACAGCATAAAACTTGTTAAATCATGAAGCAAACATGTTTCTTCAAAATGGTATGACTAATTTATTCCTTCAAAAACATACATGCTTGATTTTGTAAACCTTCAAAATATGCACTTTGTTCTCTTTTCATTCGCAAACAATCATCATTAATTATTTTCGCATCATAATTTTCTGACCATAAGGCCAATATTGTTAAAGTGGTCTGGTACTATATTGATCATTACCCTTTAATACTAATGTGGTTGCTCAACGATGAACAACCAATTTTGATTTTAATCTTTTATTTCATAATATTTTTAACATAATAATTTTCTTTCAATTAATTTTCTCTTTGGATGATGTCTCATCATTTATAGGACCCTAACTTATACATTTTAATAAACTGTAAGACTTTAACGAAAAATCTTAATTATAATAGATTCAACAATTTATTAAATATAACACATACCTCAAATCATTTGCTAAACAATAATAACTTTAAGAAACTATATTTATTTTAATTAGTTAAAATATATTTCTTGTAAATCAAATTATTAATTAACTTAATTTTGTAAACCATAAACATTTATAAGTAATTATTCATAAAACTTGTTCTGTTCAAATTCATATATGCCAAAAAGCATGCCTTTGTACTATTTACTAATGTCAAATTTTATCCAATCTTATTCTGTCCTTTACTAAATGGGTACCAAACGTTACCTTAAGCATGCTTCATTGATAGGCATATCACAATCTAAATGAAGAAGCAGCTTAGTGTATTTCCAAATTGCTTTCACTCTGGTTATATGTGCATCCATGTATTTGTAAGTGCACAGGCATGCATCAAGAAAACGAATAGACATAATACATTCATGAAAAGCTTAACGATGCTTAATTCGAAGGCATTTAACATAATCCAAATAAAGAAGTAACAACTAGTCATCCTAGTAACATTTAAGGATAAAATAATAAACTGCAAGTCAAGCACATACCTCATGTGAGAAGCCATAAAACTGCATTGCACCTTTTAACATAAACTGCACATCAGATACTAGCTCCATCACACTATTATACTCCAATCTGTCCACACGATGATCAATTCTTCGTAGATCCAAAAGATTATTTCCACCCCCACTCATGTGACTGGAATTTTCCATCCTCTTCCACAAACTCGTCAGCATTGGAACAATCTGTTGACCCTCCTTATCAATCCTCCTTTGAAGCTTGCTAATTACATTTTTGAACTGCAGTTATGAACATTCCGAGTGAATTTCAAAAAATGTATAATAACCAGGCTCACGACCATGGAAAAGAAAGGAAACAGATTTAACCATACTTAAGGATGATTATTTACATATCATATACTGATATGCTGTTCGGATGTGCCATAATGATATGGGCATATGAAGCTAGTCAGATACCAAACTTCTCTAAGTAAATTACAACATCAGTATATTACTACCTAATATTGACCTTAATCATTTTTCTCCTTTTCTTTTCTTTTCAGGCACCATATTTAGGATTATTTATTTCTACATTGACATTCTATTTGGCCCTAAAAAGTAAGATGTCATAATATATAATAGAAGGTGGATAAGCATGCAGGCCACCAAACATAAATTTCATGCCTCAGTACTAAATAGCTATCCATATCCAGGCTAGGAAGAGTTAAATTTAGGCCAAATAAGGCCCAACTCCAAAAGTTATTTTAAACACTGACTGATCTTGATTCAGGATTTTGTTCAGTGGATGCCATCTCGTTGCTAAATACTAATGCATATGTAACACCTGCATCACTTTTTTTATAAAGATCTTATTCCATATTTAAGTGTTTGATCTAGAGATTAAAATTTTCAAGATCATTGCTGTCAAATAAGACGCAACAAGGAAAAGAACCAAGCCTTCATCAAGCAAGATAAAGAACTACAGAGTACGCACCCTTCTTTGGATGCCATCAGACATTTTAGCACCAAAATTTGAAGTCCCACTTGTACTGATGGCTTTTCCATCCCAACTGTCTCTGGAGAGTTCAGGAGCATCCTCTGCAGGGAAGGGCATGCAATTCGATCTACCAGATTTTGGTGAAGCATGCACCTTGGACGTATTGGCTACCCTCCTTGCAGGTAAATTACGTCTGATCTTAGAAGATGAATCACTTTGTTCATGTTTTGGAATATTCATTGTTTCATTATCGGTCCTTAACTGAGCTTGATATTTATGGTCCATTTGGAATGGCAGCAGAGATGATTCCCCACGTTGGAGAGGAGTTTCACCGGTCCCCTTCT